CTTGTTGAAGTTGTTGTTGACGTTGTTGTTGATGTTGATGTTGTTGAAGTTGTTGACGTTGTTGTTGTTGAAGTTGTTGTTGTTGTTGTTGTCGTAGTCGGTTCTATTTTGTAGAAGAGAATTCAGAATGAGACTAAACAATTGGATATGGGTCTACTCCTAATTTCTTACTTCTTCTCTAAGTATTATATCTGCTATATATGTGAGTGCATTATGATAAAAAAGTAAATCTTTAGACGGCTTGTAATATAATTGTACTTCTACAATCTTTACTTTAATTAGATCTCTAATATAAGAATCCCATAGAATGGTATATTATATTTCAATCTGAGTTTAGAGAAAAAAAGAGACTATATTTCGAATTGAAAGTAGGGGAATAAGAGGACTAGGAAGGACTGTGAGAAACAATGGAGACTCATAACATTCGAAGGAATAAAACAACGTCATTGATAAATACCAGGACTTTACTAGAGAATCAGGGCTTTCAAGAATTTATATGTATTCTAATTTCTTTGCGCAGGAAAAATCATTTTCTCTTGTACTGAATCATTTGTCTTCGATAAAAATAATTATTTTGACTCTAACTATAAAGAGTATACTTATATACACTGTCGATTATCATAAAATAGCAACGAATTGATTTCGAAAGCTCCTTAGTCTCCCGTTGGATTGAAAGGGTGATGAAGATAATAGCTGACTTTGGGCAATTCTATTTAATTCAAATCAAATATTCTATTCGTAGGAAATATAATGTTAATTTTTTAGTTTACCTATTCCTTGCTCTAAATATATTACGAAGGGCGATTTTTGTTCAAAATTCAATTTGAAATATAAAAGACCATAGACTCATTCATACTAACCGGGTGGAGATCGTGTTCCAGTAATAACAATCATAGTAGTAATGTCGGTATCAGTCGCCATATTTTCAATTTCATTTGACATATCATTGAATAATTCACAATTAGAAGTTGATTGATGAAAACTGGCTGCTCTACAATAAATTTGAGCTAAACAAGCCATTTGGCACTTCATAACGGTTGACGTAATGATATTTGCAAATGGTAAACAAGTTATATTCAAACATTGAAATTTCGAACCAGTGATTAAAGACATTAGAACTGATCGTGTATCTTCTCCAACTGAGTTTGTAATAATCATAAATACAAGCCATAAACAAATTCTTTTTGAAGCCATTACTAACTAAACTGCAAGTTAATGAAATGAATTTAACTGAGAATAAAAGAAAAAGAATCTGTCGAGCGATAAACACTATTTTTTTCTTTGTCTCACTCTTTTTTTCTTGTCAGTGTAGCGTATACTTTTTTATTACATTTCATCAATCTAATGGAAAAAATAATCATTACTTTTATTTTATTTTGTAAAAACACATATCCATTCGGAAAGACGAGTTTTATTTGTTGCTATGTCCCTAAAAGACAAATATATTCACATTTAGAATATATACGTTATATGGAAAATAAATAAAGATGAAAAGCATATAGAACAATCGATTCAATAAAATTGAATTTGATAAGAAAATAAACAACATAAAATCGTAAATAAAATTTTTCTTATAAAAATATAAACTTTTTCATTTATTGTGTCCACATTTAAATTAGATATTTATTGAAAATTGTCTCACACATTATACAATATATCAATCAATTCACACACAATCTATATAGAAATAAAGAAAATTGAATACTCTTTTAAACTCAAAATTACTGGATTTGGATATTTCGATTGGTTCTAACACAGATTATGACAATATTTCTACAATTTCTCTATTGTTATTCTGTAGTATCATTTTTATTCTTCGAATTCTGATTGATGAAAGAATATTATGATTTATGATTCAATATATAATCACATTTTTCTTAATCAATGTAACAATGATCTAAACAGTTAGAATTCATATCTATCTATGACAGTATTAATGAAAGACAAAAGATCTTGTTTATTAGATACATAAAAAGCAACAATTTTTTCAGTATTCTGAAATGAGTTTAATAATTGTTTATCATAACAACGCATTCTAAACTGTTTTTTTTTCTCAAGGAAAAATATTTATCCACTAAAAAATTGCTTTATTTTTCTTTTCTTTTTCTTCGTTTATATGCTGCTGTAATACATAATGTATATAGTAGAAGAAGAAGAAGTTAGTTGGACAATCTTTTTGATTATTTTTTAAAAGGAAACGATAGAAACAGCGAGTATGTGAAAATATCTAGGTTTGATGTAATTACAATAAGAAAAAATACATATCCGTTGAGTAAAAGAATGATGGTAATATATGCAAACTTTTTGTAGATGAAAAACGACATCTCCATAATTACATTACAAAAATTACTGAACAAACCTGATGACGTCTTTACTCTCTTTCAATATTTGAATGTATCATCATAACTACAAAATAGATTGGTTTTGTGTTTAACATATAAAAATTTATTTAGCTTCTCTTAAATTTTAATGATAGTGAATTATCTTTTGAAGAGTATGCTACATGTGAAAATAACGATTTTGATATTTGTTGACAATATAACACTGATTCATGAAATATTTTTGATATGATACTATTTCTATTGACTTTTTCAAATATTTATTTACCAACTTATCTCGAACCAATGTTAGCTGAAGAGTACTGATCATATATTGTAACTGGAATATAAAAATACTTGAAATGATTATCAGCGATAAACGACTGAATACTAACAATCATAATGCGAAGTGAAAACTGTTAGGCAGCGAAAGATTCTTCAATCGTGTATTGCTAGTCAAGAATAGCGCCAGTAGTAGTGGAGTAAATCAAAACTTATCTCGAAAATTTCATTGGAAGTGGAAAAGCACTATGTTTGATGGCGACAATATTCGAATACTTGATCGATTATCTTTCGGAATATATGAATAAAGATATTCAAGTTACAGTTTTATGAATGTGGTGAATCATTTTCGATGAAATATTTCTATTTAAGATGACGTTTTTGTTGATGGGACTATCCGTTTTTACTAGAAGATCACGAACACTTTAATATATTCTAGTCTATGAATCTTTTAGAGTCGCTTAAAATGGTCTTCATCGTATGATGAATGTCTCTGATTGATACAATATATACTCGGCAGAACTAAAAGTTTGTAACCATTATGATGATATATCATATTGAGGATGTGGGTGTGGATAATTGCCTTTTCTTTATCCCAATTCAAATCCATTCACAGTCACACCCTCAAATTAATTAATTGAAAAAGAAGTATTTGATAGAGATGATTTAATATTGAAAATGAATATGATTAAATAAGATAATACAACATGCAGATATACAACATACAAGTTTAAATAAAAATACAAACAAAATTGTTGATTAAAAGAAAAATGTTTACAAATATAAATTAATTTTATTTTAAACGATGTGTGTTTGGTTTATGTTGCAATTCCATGTTTGTCATATGAGCCTGTCTAGTTCCATTAGTTACTGGTTGAATTTCTCTGTTTCGCATTACTAAACCAATTGTTGCGCGACGAAATTCACTGAATGTTATCAAATAGATTGGAAAACTCAAGACAGGGAATGTATAACCTATTGCAGCAAATGCATTCATCAAACGGCGACCTGTAACAGTTGCAGCTAAAGTGCCATAAAAGAAACTATAAGAAATTGATGAAGGAGTGCCTGTCACAAAGAAGAGAAAGGTAGTAGATATAATTGTAATTGAAATGGCTCGATGTCGAATACGTGAATTTTGCACTATGGTTGCATATCGTAATCGAATGAGATGATAAATTGACATACTATTGAATAATACCATAAAAAACAAAGGTATGCCATTGTAAAGAACTAAATTTATTTGATTGTATATAGGATAGAGAGGATAAAGTTTTGAACTTCGAACAATTTGTCCACTATCATTACGATAGCAAACAAATATGAGAAGATGTAAATTAAAAAGCATAAAAAATATTGTCGTACCAAAAATTATGATGAGAACACTTTTTGATCTATTGAACCAAGTATTAGGTTGAACACGACTTAGACATAAATATCGATCAAAACAAATAAATATACGTAACCATCCCGAAATATGAAGTGTAACATAGTTGAGAAATGTAAAGAACTTACATGATGCAACTGTATAGGAATCATTCAAAGTAAATCCATGAACAATTTGCAAATAATTATCTAAATTCCATCCATACAAATTAATAAGATCAATCAATGCTAATGCACGCATATAGTGTAATGTTGGCCGTACTTTTGTATCGCGAAATGCAGGTTGACATAATATAATGAATGTTAAAAGATTAAATACTGTGCCTATAATTATCATTAATAGACTGTAATAACCCAAAAAAAGGTACATTAATAATGACAGAATATATATTTGTACTAGTTGAATTGCTTGTATTAGTCAATATATTCATAGAACTATTGTTTACCATTTTGATTTTGAAAAATATTAAATAATCTACAAGAATAATTAACAACAAAATGAGAACTATTTTTTCTCTTAGTATATATAGTATAAAATCGACAAAAGAAAAGTACTATTTATCAAATCTTATCGACAATTGTTTTCATAAAAACATTAATATTTATGTCTTTGTCTCATTTTAAAGTTTTTATTATTTATAGTTAATAAAACGACAAATCTCAAATTTCTATCATTTTCTACGCAATTCTTCCGCTTCATGTGAAGAAAATATTAACTCAAATGTTTACTCATATCATGAATTCAAGTATATAATAAAAAATAAGAAAAATAAAAGTTCACACTAATATATTATTATGTCTCAGAAGGTACTTTGTTACAGGTCATAGAAATTCCATCAAACATAAGAAATTATCATTATCATCTTTTTATATATAAACAGAATAACTTGGGTACAAATGCGAATTTTCTACTTAATTACAAAGGTATAAAAAGAAAGAAACAAAAAAATCTGCCATAGATTAGAATAATTTCACTTTTTTAATAAATTATAAAGGAAAATAATTTTTTTGAAGAATGTTTTTAACCTTATCGAGGTGATAAAACAAGCAATAAAATATATGCTTCTTATAAAAAATTTTAATTTGACAGTTGTCAAAAAAGGCTAAATCTACTTATGATAAAAATTTATTTTATTTTTCATTTATAGACCTTTGCCATATCCGGTATGGAGTGCGAAAGTACAATAGAAGTAATAAGCACATCTAAGTTGACAATAAGTAGAAAAAAAGTCTTTTGTTTTCGTTCGACGAGACCCATTATGGTTAGACCAAAACTTCCATCAGTCTATTATTCTCTGATGAAAGTTAGAATGAGAATATAGATGAAAGGTGTGGAAAATAATAGTTCATTCCTATTCTATATTCACTATAATATGAAAAGAAAAGAATTTAAAAATTGTTTCTATATATAAAGGTTATCATCATTATCGATCGTTGAAGGAAATTTATAAAAACAATTATTCATTTTAGAAATCACTGAAAACTGCAATAAAGCAAAAATAAAAAGTGTTTTTTTTTCTATGAAGTTAATAAATTGTCGAAATCATGTTCATTCAAACTTACAATTAAAATACAAAAAGCAATTCTTTTCTCGTTTTCTTAATTCTTCACAGAACGAACACGCAAAAGGCGCATGTCTGCTTCAAACGAAAGAAAAAAGAATACAGTTATTACAATCTAATTAAAAATAAAAACAAACAAATTTTAAAAAGTAAAATTTCAGTGGCCAATTGCCCATTTGTCCCCTCCTGGCTATGCTACTGGTGACAGTATCTTTCATTTAAAAACGATGTTCTTTAATTTTTTTCGTTGAATATGAATGGAAGAAAATATAACTTCATAACAGAATGTAAAATAGTAACATTAAATAATTTGATCTCTATATATTTTAGTAACTGTTGCAATGGATTTTATTTACTTATTTAATAGATAAGTTATAAATTAGGAACAGAGCAACGTCTCTTAGAATAAATAAGCGTATGACAAATTATTTATTTATTAAAGATTTCTTTTTACAAATGTAAATGTATTCGTATGATCTTATCTTGAGAAAATTGTTTTGAGTATTGATTATAAATTATATTCTTGCAATTAAACTTACAGTCAATATCACGACATCTTTTTTATTATGAATACATTCAATACATATAGTTTTAAATTACTCAATAAACTAATTGTATAATAAAACTCTTAACTCTGTTCAAACAAAATTCTAATTCAAACTATGAAATAAATGTAAAATTAGAGAAAGCATACAAATAAAAATAATTGCAGTTCTTTGTTTTTATATAATGAATCGATGAAATTGAAAGATATAGTAATTAAAGACTGATAATATTAAAAATAGAGAACGTTATTTAAATATATAATATATGAATTTAGTTTAGTTTTGTTCTAATTACACTAAATTTTGCTTGTATTGAAAATGCCAATCTCATACATTTCATATTTGAATCAAGTCGCAATTATTTAATTTAGATGATAGATAAAATTTATATCAAAAATATCGCATAATTTTATGGATGATGATAGTAGAAATAAGAATTCTAATAAATTGTAGTAAATTATCAAAAATCTTTACAAATTTCTATTTATGATTAAATTCTTGCATCAAAGTTACTTCAATTTTATTTTAAAGTGCTGTTGATAAATAAAAGAATAAATATTACATCTTTTTGATTATATTAATAAAAAAGAGATTATCAAATATTTCTATATAATTCATCATCGATAATTAATAGAAAATAAGATTTCTTTGTTCATTCTTTAACGTATGAACTATCTCTGATGGCTATTTTTTGTCTGATTAAAATCAAGTCATATACAATTCAATGACGATTTTTTCTTCTTAATAGTATGTCTTCACCGTACGTCTATTAAACTTTCTCGAAATATGATTAATAAAAAAGGATTGGTATTTTTTTGATCATCAAATTTATTTTTAATTAAACTGACAATGATAAATAGAAAGAAACACATTATTTAGAACACATGAAACAACTAAGGGTGTGGGTGTTCTCTTTAAACAATGCACACTCATCCTTAAGATGGTTCTGTCTAGTATTTCATGCTGATTTTTTTTAGTTTCACTTTATGAGAGATAATAGTTGATAGGCTTCTCTTCATTTATTTATTTAAAACAACTTCTATATCAATTGAATGACACGGATTAGTTATCAAAAACGTTTCACTCAATTTGTTTTGAAAAACTGATTTAATAAGAAAATAAAAGCTAAAATAAATAATTCATATACTATTGATACTATTGAAAATTTATGCAAGAGAATCAAGCATTACATATTGAGTATGTGAAGAAAAAAATCACATAAAACATACGATCTTCAGTTTTAAGAAATATTAAAAATAAATATTTCATTAATCGAACAGTAAAATGTGATAATCTATCTAATATTATTAAAAATACTTGTCATTTACAATAGAATGTGTTATCAAAAGAACATTCTTAAAGGTGGACGAATGTAATCATTTCAATATGTGACTAAGAAAGATTTGGGAGAAAAATAAATGAAAAATTCTCCATGTTAATCATTTAAAATAGGCGAAAACTTATAAGCTGTGTATTAGTTGTGCTTCTTCTTTTACATAAATACATTAATAGGAAAAAATGATTTTACGAATTTATTATCTTCCTCCTCTACAAGTAAATAGAAACTAACGATGTCTGTATTTATTCTAGACAGTCGTTTATATATCAAAATGAAATTTTTGTTTTTTGAAATGGTAATATTCCCTTTCCTTCTATTCCTCTACTTGATTAAAAGTGCGCAAATAAAAAAAATAAGCCTCACCTGGAGTATTTAAACCATAATTTTTTGTAGTCACTTCATTTTTTCACAACTTAGATGTTGTTGATCATGCGATTGCTTATAATCGTGTTAGTAGGTTTTAATACTATTGTATATGGTACTCATTTTCGTGGTGGCACAATGACATGGTACATAATATATATATATATATATATATATATATATATATATATATATATATA